TCAGCAGGACTGCACAAACCCCCCTCCCTTGCTGAAGCTCTCCAGTGACCGACTCAAGAGAGACTCCGTCCACAGAGGGGTGCACAAAGGAGATCTCCTGCAGGTTTACCTCTTGCAGCACTGCACTCTTCTCCAGGTGCTGGAACGGGTTGGAGCCCCCACCTGCAAAACAGAGAAAGACTCCTTCCAGGGACAGTGCTATGGGAAAACAAGTTTCTAACCATGCCCATCCTTTAAGAACAGAGTGAGCATTTTGGGATAACTTTCTTCATGAACACCAAGCAACCACTGCTCCCTCTCTGAAGTCCTATTGACTGGATGTCTTCACAGTAATTAGGGGAGGCAGAGTAAACAGGACACTCTGATTTGCCATCCCCTACTAGCCATAAGCCAGTAGACTGATCAGCTGCAAAGTAACTGCTCCAGTGCTATCCCCAAAGACCTGTGTGCAGCCCTAGGCTGGAGCTTGCTGATATTAGAGCATCAATAAGACAGACCTAGAAACAAAAGCTCAGCAAGAAGAGGCATCACTTGCCAAACTGGCAAGTCAGGAGGGCTTTAGCCCTCCCTTATAAACCAACCAGGAAGCCAACAGTAAAGTATTTTTGGCTCTATCTCTAATGAGGAGAACAAGACAACGGACTAGAGAGCCTGGACCCAGAGTAACTTCCATTGTTCCACTTGACACAATAAATGCTATTAAATAATTAACCCCCTGTCCGATTAAGAAGAAGAAGATATTCAGAGGGAAAAGCACTATCACCCTGCATGGTCTCTATTAGCTTGGCTCCTAAGCCTCTGGAGCTGTGAGTTGCAACTTTTCAGAAGCTGCCAATTATCGATAAGCAGGTTTTAATTAGTACCTGTGTTCCGCCTGGCTCTGGGACAAACACAGCCATTTCCAGCACTGCTCCAACATTTAACAAGCCTGATCTGCTGGAGAGCAAGGACACAGCTCCTGGGCCCAGCTCTGACCTGACCTGAAGCATCCTACACCGATGCAAGACTTTGCAAGAGTGAGGCTTACACTGAAAGGCAACACATCTGCACTCTGGCTGCTTCCCAGGTCATAAACTGCCCTCCTCTGGCTCAGGAGAAGTCTGCAAATGCAGCCGGTGTCTGAACAAAGCACAGACACTTACATGGTGTTGAGGAGAAGAAAACAAGGGGAAGGACAAAACCAATGTCTCTAGTGTTAATAAGAACCAGTTTAGTATGAACATGTGAACATGCTCCCAAAACCTGCCCAGCAGCACAGCATTTCCTGTGGCCCAGCACGTCTGTGATCCTTAAATCAGGCATGAACACCACAGCATCACCTCATCATCTGTCATAGCACCGAGGAGCTTGAAATACACAGTACATGAGGTCTCAGTCCTCGCAAGCACCTGGTGTCAGAGTGCTCTTCCATCAGGGGAGGAGGATGCCAGGAAGCAGAGGCTGTGTTCAGTCACCTCGTACTGGGTGACTAACAACAACTTACACTGGTCTACGGAGGAACAGCCACTGACCGAGCAAGGGCCTCGGAGCAATTGTATGCCCAAAATAACATCTCCAAGTGCACTGCTGAGAGCCAGGGGAAGCAGCTCACCCATGGCTACATAAACCAGACAGAAAGAGCAAAGACCCAGAAGCCAATTAAGTGGACATTCACCTCAACAAAAAGACTGTCCTGTTAACCCTCACATGGAGGGAACAGGGATACAAGGCCTGTAAATTAGGGGATGATGTGCTCCATCTAACACCAAGAACAACAAGCACCAAGACATATACACAATCCACAGGAGAAAGGCAGGCACAGTAGATGCTAAGAATCTTCATATGAGACAGAAGAACTAGAATGAGAAGTAAATCACAGAATTCCAGACCGGTTTGGGTTGAAGGGACCTTAAAGCGCACCAGGCTCCAACCCCTGCCACGGGCAGGGACACCTTCCACTAGAGCAGGTTGCTCAACAAAATACAACAGAAGCTGCAGTGGCAGAAAACAGGAGAGCTTTGTGAGTGTTTGGTATGAACAAAGTCAACAAGAGTCAGCACCATAAAACAAGGAAGTGCATCTCCTGCCAGCCTTGGGCACAGACAATGCCAGTACCTTGAAGCAAAGCGTGTGGCAGGTACAGATGAAGACCAGCTCCAGAACAAAAGCCAAGAGCAATTCCCCTCCAACAACTGCCCCACTAAATTCTCCACATCTTGATAAAGATGTCATCAAGGGCTTTGGACAAGGGAAACAATGGCAAAGCGTTTAGTGCTCATTCAAATAAAAAGCAAGCATGGTCCCACGGAACAACCACTAGGATTTACACCAATCTGCTTCAGGACGCACTGATCTGTTACACAGAACAAGGTGTGCAGACAGCTTCACAGGGAGATGGAAAGACAGCACCAGGCACAACCATGAAAGTAAACACTGTCACATCTAGCCTCGACTCCGCCTGGCTCACACACCCCATACAACATCAGCCTCCCCGTTACTACTCAAGCCTGAAGTACTGGAGGTCAAGCAATCACTCTGTGTTTCTCCACTGCTCTCAGCCCTTAGCTCCACTGAAGGCAGCAGTGATCTTGTGTGTGCCAGAAATACAAACCGGATTCTGCTCTGCTTCAGCGCCTGCTCTGCGAGGTGGGTAACTGTGAACAGGGCTATAACACCCCACGACTAGTCTCGGGCTCCACACTGCGGGACGCAGCAGGTAACCTCGGCGTGCTGAGCC